AAGTCACAAGCTAGGCCAGACAACCAACAGCGGGTTGTCTGACCGCATACATGCAAGCATCCCGTTCCATCTAGGCGTCAAAGCTGGCGCAAGTCGCAAGCTAGGCCAGACAACCAACTGCGGGTTGTCTGACCGCATACATGCAAGCATCCCGTTACATCTAGGCATCAAAGCTGGCGCAAGTCACAAGCTAGGGCAGACAACCAACATGGATGCGTGCTCGTAGACATGGCGGGGCGCTCGCATCGCATTGACGCAAGCACACGCCACCAGAAAGCAAAACCAAAAGAGAACCGAACACAACAAGTTCAGTATCCAAGCGTAATCTAGAGACCCTCACTGAGTCAGTGGCGCACTTCGGTGTGGCTACTCTTGGAATTACCCACGTTGTCTCAACGATGATCCAGTACAACGACAGTGTGATATTGAGCGTTTGCATCAAAGACGCCTCGAACTTCCGTCACATATATAGCAATACGACCTGGGTGGAGACTGCTGGACCCTGTGCCGCGATATAAAAAACAACAGGACCCTCCCCCCAAAAGAAAATATAATACAAACAGTGAGGCTCACTGAAACGCCGAAAAAACCTCCCCAAAGCCTCCTCAAGTAAAGCCCCCAAACTCCCCTGAACCCAAATTATCCCGCATTGGTCCAGAGAGGTGATGGCGGTGATCAAGTTGGGGATCGCGGTGACCGCGGCGATGGTGGTGAGTGAGTGAGTGCGAGCGTGAGTGGGAGTGAGAGTGAGACTGAGACTGAGAGTGAGTGTGGGTGAGAGTGACTGTGGGTGAGAGCGAGAGTGTGTGGAGAGTGAGGGTGAGTGAGAGTGAGAGTGAGAGTGAGTGAGTGTGTGAGTGAGTGTGGGTGAGAATGAGAGTGAGAGTGAGAGTGAGAGTGAGGGTGAGGGTGAGTGTGAGTGAGAGTGAGAGTGGGAGAGTGAGAGTGAGTGAGTGTGTGAGTGAGTGTGAGTGTGGAGTGTGTGTGAGAGAGTGGGAGAGTGAGTGGGTGAGCGTGAGAGTGAGTGTGAGTGTGAGCGCGAGTGTAAGTGAGACCGGGAGCGTCTGTGAGTGAGAGTGAGTGAGAGTGGGAGAGTGAGTGAGTGTGAATGGGCGTGAGTGTGAGTGCGAGTGCGAGTGAGAGTGAGAGAGAGTGAGAGTGAGAGTGGGAGAGTGAGTGTGAGCGAGTGCGAGTGCGAGCGCGAGTGAGAGTGAGAGTGAGAGTGAGAGTGAGAGTGAG